ACGAGTAGTCCCCCGGCTGGCTCGCGGACTATGAAAGCACCCATACTCGGTGCTAACTAGGTTGGGGGAGGGGGCAAGCGGCGGCACGGCACTTTGCTGTCTGGCGCTCTCTCCAGCGAGATAGTAGAGAAGAAAGAGTAGTCAGGCCGTAATGGTTCGTTTATTAGGGCCGTTTCATACTTTCTCATGTTATACCTGTGTATTTTTCACTTAATTTCGGGTAGGGGAGGGGCTCCGGGGTGGGTGAGCCAACTGGACGTTCAATTTTTATCTCATCTCAGCTTTTTGCTCGAGATAATTATCTCACCCACCCTCGGAGCCCCTCCCCTTCTTAAAAATAGGGTTTTATCGCCTCAGAAGAAGAGCATTCATAATATGCAAGCATATTAATATGTGCCAGGAGTTAACTTGTTCTAAATCACGAAATCATCGGTACATCCTCACCATCTCTTACCAGACTCAGGCCCAGTACTACTATCTCGCTGGAGAGAGCGCCAGATAGCAAAGTGCCGCGCCTCCGCGTGGCATCCCCCAACCCACTTAGCACCGCCAGTCTCTCACACGAGTTTGGTACAAGTTATTCGACTCCTTAACGATGAAAGGCTTGGTCGGCGCAGACGATGTCGGCACGGGATTCGATTCTCGGCCTGTGCGGGTGAGATAGTGCGCCACTTGCTAAGAGACCACCTATGGAGATATATTGCATATTTTCCGGAAGCATGCTATCACCCAATCTAACTGTGTGCCCATGGAATTCGGTGAAACTTCCACTCGCTTTCCGATGACAATGAAAGGGTTTCTCAATTACTTTTCATACAATGTCTGGTGGATTGCCAGGGCTAGAGGATTTACTCCCAGAATTTAAACACTGATTGCTTCCAACGGGTGACGGTACTTCTCTCCTAGTTTCAACGACAAGCGGCAGTAGATCCGCCGCGGCATGGTGCAGTAGGAACGAAATTGTCGCGTCGCGGCGAGAGAGACGTCGCGCGCGAAGGAATGTAGCAGTATGCAGCAGCAAGCAAGAAACACAGGGACAAAAGAACAAACGGTAGAATCATGCCAAAAGTATTAGTCGCATAGCGATTGAGGTTTATAAGAACGCTAGAATTGTTATAACGAGGCAAATGGTCCGCGTCTACCATATCCTTTGACAGGGAGGGGTGAGCGAAACGCACCCTCAGCTGCTTTCAGAACAGGTAGTATCGAAGGCTTACAGCTTCACAGCTCAATGCCGATATTGGCCGACGAGTTCTTCGTTATACGTGTGATTGCTAATATGCGGTAAATGAAACGCCGTCGATAGGCTGCTTTCATAGTCCGCCGGCCGGCGGACTATGAAAGCAGCCATAGGGCGAGGTGTCGCTAGTGTAAGTGATTAAGAACACAATGTACGGGTTCTATGCTATTTCCATTTATAACAAAGCATTCCCCATTTATGGACGTCTTATCGATCTCTTTGGGGTTTTAAAACTCCCCAGAAGAGCCTGAGACGAATTGCCAGCTTCAGCTGTACAGAGAACTCAGATTGGCTAGATTAGATTTTACTCACGATAGTGTTACCGTTTAGCTCTCCTGAATTGAGAATTAATTATGATTCTGTTGCTTAAGGAATGCTGAACAACGCAAGGAGATAGAAATGTTGGCTCGTAAATGTTTCCCGCGAAGAAATCGATCGTCAGCTTCAGAAGAGTCAAAGTAAAGGGCTCAAAATGAGTCCTTCTTCTATGCATACATTGTTTGTTGAATGGGTGTCCAGGTGAGAATGGATAGTCTGAGTTGTACTTTACCTGTTACATTGTTGAGTTTAAATCATGCCACGGGATTTCTTCTTTCGTAATTTTTATTTATTGATTTGGATTGTGTTTTATTGTTGTACTCATCGAGAGCTATGCCATCGTGTCGCCATGAGTAGGATATAGTCGCAAGCGTCGCAGCGGTCACGTACGCCAATTAACTCTGCGTAGTTGTTTTGGTGGCATTCTCCATCGTTTGTGCACATATCTAAGCTCCCAATTCATGCTCTCATACACTTTGTGAATAAATGATGAGTTTTGAGTGACGATCTAGACGTACAATATATGGGAGTGGTTTTTCATTACTGATGGCTCGTCCGAAACGCCTGAACCTTACTTTCCGTTGATGATCAGTCTTGAGAACGAATGTGGAGACAGCTGTCACCTTCTGCAGACAACTTGCAGCGGAGTTTGCTGCTCTGGAACCCCGTTCAGGGCCAGCGCAAGTGGTCCCGTCACGACTACTGTATGCATAGAAAGACCCGGTCTCGCCAAAACGAGAGATCGGTTCTTTCTATATATACATGGATTAAGCAGAACATGAATGTGGAGAACGAGATGAATCTTTTCTTATTTAGTATGTCTCGATGGATCGATAGGTACTGGCCCAGACCAATCAAGTCTCCATCTCCCAGGGTTGCTAAGTGCTACCAGATTGTGATGGAGCAAAGGCAATGGCTAGCAATAGCTACTCATTTTATAATTGAAATACGCAAATGAAAGCGCAGCCACAGCACTGATCAGGCTGTACGAAGTGGAGGAACACGTGTATAGATGGGATTGATCAGGACCAGAGCAAGTTTATACCCTTCGTCACCAAGAAGCTGCCGATACCTACCACTAATACGAGGCTTTCTGAATAGCTAGTTCAGATAGAAAAGTTTATTTACTTTCAAAATAGTTTAAATATCATCGGACGGATCGAAAGGAAGGAATGTAGTAAACGTTTCTATTCGGACACGACATGCCTACGACTCCCTTACAAATTTGGTAGTGCGTGATTGAACCTTTGCCCATATATCCAGCACTTCACATGGACCAGCGGTCTGAGCTAAGCGTTATTTTCACAAAACAGTTGTTCTGTGGATCTGTGCCAGTTGCTAGGTAATTTCCCAAAAAAAAAAGAAATCTAGTGTCCTGACAGTTCCTACTCTTCAGTCGCACCCATGAAGTCCTTGGAAGAATCGTTCTCAAAACAGCGCCACCATCACTGCCTGACCGTTGTAGGTTTGTTAAAAATCCTCTGTAAACATTGCTAGTCACATCTTTAATGAACTTATAGCTTAAGTAAATCACAATGATTTGATCATTGCAATAATAATAACTATCTACTAGTATATACGATTATTATAAGGTCAGATAATCATAAGAACAATCAAACCACATCACAGTAGAATATGCAGTAGGAATGTGAAAGTGAGAATCGAGTGTGAGTATTACAAAAGGAAATGTCACGTTCACTGACAAAACCAACACAGAAGAAGGAAACTAGTGATTTCTTCAAAATCTGTGCTAGCAATATGAGGCATATTGCAGACCTTGTGCGTTACCCGTGCGAGTCTAGTTTTGATATGTTAATTGAACCGATTATAGGCATATAGCAAAGTAAAATCCAGAAACTTAATGCCTATTCAAGGCAGATTTACGTCGAAGAGGTAGAGTAAAGGACTATGCAGTAGGATTAGTTTCAACAGTGCTATCGCCGTTGGCAGGCTTTTCTTCAAGAAGCTCTTGTTTCGGTTCCTCGCAAACTACGGTATCCCATGGCTGGACATCCGCTAAAAATACAACTTTATTGCTGCAAAGGTAGGACTTTCTGTGATTAAGCCGGGTATTTTTAGTAGATCGTTTTGGAACCAGTCGTAGACGCACCCGTAGCTAGGGAAACGAAAGTTATGACATCTCAAAAAAGAATTACCTGAACCGGATATTTGAAAGAAAAGGCCGGTTATGGTGCAGATAACCACAATCGTTAGAAAAACGATTTGCCATTCTTCCAAGATACCCTGAAATTCGAAGTAATTGTTTGTTGACTAAAACACTTTGGTTTTGCAAATATCATCATCAAGGTTCGCCAGTCATCTATCACACATCGTCCTCAAGAGGGTACCGCGGGTGACGGAACTTCACGAATTCCCACGGCCTGCGGCAGTTGTTCCGCGGCGACTCTCCCTTCACTGGGAATTCGAATATTTTCCTTCACAACGCGCGGTCGCGTGCGGCGAGCACGACACGCCGTTCGGGAAGAAGATACCAGATCCGAGTATCGCTGCCTACTGAATTGAAAAGATTAACTCTTTCTCAAAACTCTACCCCTACAAGCGTGCTGTGAAGCTGTTTTCCACTTAACCAATTCTTATTGCTGTCTCAGTTTTCTTCATACCTGTGGTTACTGCTATTGTTTCTCTCCCACGTACCCTAGTTGATAATCTTAAATGGGCATTCCGAGACGGGTTTGAACCTTAAACCAATATAACTGCCCCATTTCGTGAAGTTAGGCGTCTTACAAACACCAAGCTCTGATTTTTAGTTTGAACGGGTATGATGGCACTTGGCATACTGGATGAAGGATATTGATTTTACGCGCTGCGAGCTTACATGCCCCAGTGTATCCTTGCCAGTGACAATTATGCCACCTGCTTTTAGCGTAACATTCAAAAGAGGTACCTGTTTTGTGAGGGCACCGATTTCATAAGGAGCCAGAGATGAAGCGATCTAAATGATACGATTTCTAGGCACTCTTTATATAATTATGAATTTACTATATAGAAAGGTAAACAGGGAAAGCACCAACCTGCGCCCAAATTCGACTGAAAGCTGCTATAGCGGCTGTTTGTGAAGGAGCAATTGATACAACACTGCAAATGAAAGGATATTATTAAATAACTTTACGTTCTTGGCTGCAGTCGCAAAACCAATCTGCCAGCAATAAGATCAGAAAAGTGAAATGTGGACGTAAGGGAAGCGTGCGGTTGCGGTGCGTAGCGCACCCCACTACTGGAATCGGCTGAATTACCTAGAAAAACGATCCGCACTCACCTTGTATTATAACCCGGGATATATCCCGATATGAAGGCCATAGCCAAACAGATCAAAAACACGGCTGTCCATCTGTATGTGCAGTCACAGAAACACAATAAGCCGAAACAAATGGCTAGTCCGAGGGATGCTGGAAAAAAGTTAGGAGATAAGGTAAATATGTACATAGCTCTGAAATGGTTGTAGACAGTAACATTACCAACCACTGGAATTGCATGCTTTGGTGACGCTGGTGAATCCCATCCAACTTCGTTTTTTCGACTCATCGGCAAAGCCGGCGTAGACGATCTTGGATACAAATTGGCAGATGAACGGCAGTGCAGAAAGGATCCCGTTCTGCAATTTGATTCATCAGTGGCCCAAAACGAGGAAAACTAGCATTTAATCGTGCCCCTACAACCTATGTATGTATTCTAAGACGTGCGACGCAGCGAGTTTGCAAGTCGTTCGATGCATCCATTGTTCAATGGATCAACTCTCAATATGAATTAACCATTTAATGTCACAGGTCCTGACGCCATATACAGGACCCCATTGCGCTGCTTGGTTCCAGAAAAAAAAACGAAACGAACCCAATATTGAGAGAGTTCGCAGAGAATGCTTCATTCTTCCCTCTCGTACTTGACGGTTAAGAAAGCGATTCTTGTCATCAGAAATAACGACCAGAAGCTATATTGAGGCATTTGAGGCTTGCATGTGAAACCTTGAGGGATTTCTCCTCGTGATCTTGGGTTCCATATCCATTTCCATGGATATGGAACCCAAGGTTGACCTACTCTGTCGATACCGCCGGCCCCTCATTTCTTCAGCGTTCGCACCAGTCGCGTGCACTCTCCCTTTTGTCCATTGTGTCTGAGTTTTTTGCTGGTCCCTCGTTTTCGAAGGAGCACTAGCTTTTCCAACCCATCCTATGGACCTGCAGTGAGGTGTCTCTGGGCTCAGCGCCTCACCTATCCAATGCGTGAAACGTCCCCCATTTCTTTGGAGTGAGCCCTAGACCTATCGCCCACGTTTGCCAACAGCCCTTTGACTTTAGAAAGCAAAATTAGATGATCGTACCGACGTTAAGCTCATGTTCAAGACAGTTTTGTAATACAAAGGAAGGTAGGTGACCGTTCCTACGGTAATGAAATTGTGAGCAAAAGCACTGCCAGCAATCGACCAAACCACTGGCGATGACAGCAGTTGTGCCCAATTGGCACGCTGAAATTAATTTTTTGTAGGACCCGAATGGTAAACTGATGGTTCGTTTATATTTTCGGATACCTGCACGCGAGGCCGCCGGCCGGCAGAATCCGTAATGACTTGGATTTCTTCGTTAGTGATTCCTCTGGCGTTTGCGGGATCATCGGCGACAAACACTTGCCAAAGAATACAGAGTAGAACGCCGAGAACGCCTAAATCCATTTGACCATTTCGAATCGTCTCGAGAACCGGAACACCCTACCGTATACATGAAAAGCCATAGGCCATCCGCCCATGAATGGCACTTGACACAATTCAGCGGTTGCAAACATCGCAATCACAACAGAGAGCTGTAAAATATATGGTCACGTCAAACCTTCTGAGGCGTCCCATGGGCAACATATTAAAAGTCGGAAATCTTCTACAAAACCTGGTTTCCTGTTGTAGCGATAGCCAAAGCCGTACTCTTTTCAGTTGGAGGGAACCAATGACCCACAAGGACACTCATACACGGCCAGAGCAGACCCTGGAATGAACAGCACTTGCATCCTTCTATATTATAAAGGAATGTACTAATGAATGAGTAGTAGATCGCATCTGTACCTGTCCAAAACCCATAACAAATCGTAGGATGACCATTGGAACGGCTCCTAAATAGCTGGCTACCGTCGGTGTAGCAAACGTTCCCACAACATTGATGATGGCACCGTAGAGAACAAGTCGTTTTGCGCCCATCCAACGATTCAGGTTCTAAGATTGAAGCAATTAGTTCACAGATTCCCACTGTACTCCTCAGATGTTTATTCTGTACAAAAACAAGAGCATTCCAAATAAATGAGCCATTTATTATTGGATATGCCATACATTCGACTTCTATCCAAGATGGCGCTGGGGTTGAATGAGTATCAGGTCTTTGTTTTTCTACATCCACCCTATGTTTTCTTGAAACCGAAGTTCAGCGAGCAGAACACGAATAATTCTAAGCATGACTAGTTTAGAAAAATGCCTTTATTTTTCCTCCTTAACCAAATGGCTTGAGAAAGGTCTTTGCATGAGGGGTCGACACCACGAGCTTCGTGAAGATATATTACTTGTAGGAGAAGCCACTTAGTTACTTTCTTGATCTTCACTTTTCCTATCTGTGAATACGCAAGCGTGCGTTGATCTACCCCATCGATGCCGTCAGTCCCCATTTCGTCAGTGTTCGCATCGGCCGCCTGCATCTCCTCCTTGTCTATAGTGTCTGAATTTTTTGCCAGTCCCTCGTTCTCGATGAAGCGCTGGCTTTTTCAACCCATCGATGTCAGAGATTGAAACGATCCCTCCTGCCCACTTATGTAAATGGATGGTCTGAGGATTGGGAGTGACCCTGTATTGGAATTTCAACCATAATTTATATATGCATTTTATTATGCATAGATGCTCTTCATGTTGATTCTGGCTGAGGACTTTTTAAAATTTTCATTTTTGAAAGAATTATCCTGACTTCGGAGGAGCACTTCCATCCCAACTCGAGAGCTAAAGGAAGGATCGGGAATACGACTGGATGAATGGAGCACAGTCGAGGAAATCGACTAATTCAAAAATGGTATTAAATGCAAAAGTATCCGACAGTTGTCAGATTGTTCATGCGTTCCATTTTCCTCAGTTATCTTACAGAGCAATTTCATTGAGTGGAAGTCCCAAGCAATGTCACCGTCAGGCCCATCGAACTTCGTTTCGTTCAAGGAATTCCATGGTTGCAGGATTAATCATAAAGTAAGGCTACCGTAATCGATCATTGGGGGGGGGGGGGGGGGGGGGGGGGGGGNGGGGGGGTGGAGGAAAAGTGGATTGCATTCAAGCGAGAAGACCGAGGCAAGGCGACGAAGTGTCGACCCTGTACAGAAGCTTTACTCAAGCCTTTAGCCGAACCAGCCATTTCAGTTAAATAGAAACAGAGGGAATAATAGATTCGGCATGCATATAAGGAGGCTAAGGTAGATGTTTGAATAGACCTGACCCTACTTTTATGCATAGGATCTAGCTGTAATTTAAATGTTTGGTGCACTCGCCAAAAAAGTATGGAACTAACGGTTTAGGAGGTCACACCGATGCCTATAGTTACCGAATTGCACTGTACAGATTCATGTAATTGGAAATACTCCATACTTCATGCATTGGAAATACTTCATCAGGTGGAGCTTACCTCAGTGACGAGGGTAGCTAGAAGACCGCCGGCATAGAACGATGCAAAGATCACTGCGCGTTGTTGAGAAGTCCATGTTAGATCGCCGGACTAAATGATTTCCCTAGAGAAGTAATCTTAGTCTTATCATTGTTGAAGGCGTGGATTGGATGTGACAGGAAGAATTCGAAATCTAAGCTCAGTATCATAAAAACGTTACCAACAGAACTCACATACTCATAGACCTTTTCGTTGCCAAATTTGAGCACTTCGCACTTCGCTACTCCCAAAGACTCGTTTATGCTTTTAGCTGGTCTTCCCTCAGCGATTGCTGTCTCGTTCAACATGCAAACCATCGCCTAAAACCGTCGTTGAATTCAGCTCAAGAAATCAGAGGAAGTGGATGGTCCGACCATATTCAAGTTGCTTCTCATGAGACCTTCGATCGTAAGTGCCAAAGCAATGCATACCGCTACCCGCAATCGAACACTCTTCCAACTCCATAGCCGAGTTGTCATCGAATTTTGCTCTAAATGGACGGTCATAAAGGCATTCAAAGCACCACTCGACCCTTAAACGAGCGTTTCCAGAGCTTCTTAGGAAAAGATAGGATGGAACGGAGCAATGAAGAAAATCCCCGTAGGAAAAGTAGTCTTAGGAAAGGAGACGTCGTAGTTCATATAGTTACTGTGTCCCAGGCACTGTAAATATTATATTCTAGCAAGCCCTTTGTAGCTTCTAACTGGTTGATAAGGTCCATAGCTTCATCTTACATCTACACTCCAGTCCTACAATGGGTTCGTTAAGGGTGGGAGAAGGAGAGGTGAAGGGATAAAGAATGGTCATATTGCTAAATCAAGGAAATAGGAACTTATTGAGGGGGAGGGGGATGCTAAGCACCAGCAGTATGGCGACGTTTCACAGGGCAGGCATCAAGGAGATAAGTGCCAATGGGAGGCGCCAGTCGACCGAGCATTATGATAGCTGTTGACTTTACTAGAAAAGGCTGGGAAATGAAAGGCAGTTAGTCATAATTCTAGCTCGGTATCAACACACACGCTATAATTTCAACTCAGCCTCTTTGTTGCCTATTATTAGAGCTGCGGATTACTGTAGAGGCTAATGACAGGCCTTCATTATCATGAAGCTTCGCAAACTTCAATGCAGGTGAAAGATCGCTATGGAAACTGAATAACGTAATACAGTGTCTACAACAAAGAATGAAGATAAAAGAGTATTTATAGCCTCATGGCTTACGGCCACAATAATGGCCACAGAAATCGGAAATAGGAAATGTTGCGATGATGGCGACGATACGATCAAATGGTGAACGGACGAGTCCAATCGTTGTAAATAAGAAAGATCCTTCCCAATTATGGTACTAGCCCCTCCTGGATATAGGCCGCAGGGTGTAGACTCTGAACCGGCAGAATATTGTGGGGATATGTGGGGATATTAAAAGTTTGTAAATTGCGAACCTAAAATTATTGAATATCTGAAGCACGGGTTGGGCAGAGGTGATGTACATAGTGATGAGTGGTGCTCTATCTCACATGCAAGGTCCGAGGATAGAACCTCTGCAGTCGGGGTCGGCTATTCGAGAGCAGATGTCTGGGAGCATAGAAACACTGATTTCTAAATCGCCTGGTCACGGCTAATCATGTATTGGCCATACATACATAGAAATCGCGCAGAGGTTTGGAATGGAAGTCAAGTGCGGGGCGCGACCTACGAAAGGTATAGATTAACATCAAATACTCTGTATAGATTAACATCAAATACTCTATCTTTTATCTTTCAATGAGCCCAGACTCTTAGACGATGCCATGTAATAAAGCTCAAACACGAGAAACGCCTAACCCTCACACCTCCCCTTTCTTCATAGTGAGGATTTCTTAGCTCCGACAATTATCATCTCCCTAACTTCTCAAATCACAAATATAAACTCTTCAATTGAGAAGGAGTTAACGATCAAGGTAGGAAATAAAAACGAGATATCCATCGAAGAAAGAAAAGGAAGAAATGTAACCTATTTCGAAGAAGTAGCTATGGAGAGATGCAAGAAATCGAGCCTTGAATTTGAACTCTAGCAAAGTTCAGAACTTGTGAATATATGCAAAAAATCTGGCTGATCCTAAGGCTTAACAATTCGGAAAGCCTAGCGTAGAATAGTCCAAGATAAGGAATCACAAAATCAATCAGTTCTATTCTTTCATGATCGTCCTTCTAAAACTCCCTTAACTGACCCTACCAGAAGTTTTCAAAATAGAAGCGATTATGGGGTTGGGATATCCCTGAGGATGAGCCATGCATTCGTTCATCAGTCCTAATCAAACTGAAACTTGATCTGAGAGGGATTGCATAACCGACTAAAGAGTTTTGCTGCTTAATGAGAAGAATTCGAATGGAGCCACTAGCTGTGGACAACGTAGAGATGGAAGGTGCAGGACATTTCTTCGTGCGATCATAATAGTTAGTTACGAATCGATTCCTATGTTTTTCACAGTGTGATATACAGCGCGGTAACATCAGAGGCCGATGGCTGCCCCTGTTCATGGAGCTCGATCAATAAGAAGCGAGAAAGCTTTTTTCACCTGAAAAGGGTACGGTCGAGGGGATCGGACGTGATAAATGAGTACCCTACTTTTTACTGAATAATAATGGCCATAGATTTTCGGCCGCAGTGTCCTTTGACCCCTTAATGTCAGCTGTTTGCTGGCCTTTCAATTCTGACTGATCATACTGAACCCAGCAGAGAGTAAACAGTGGCAATGCAACAAGGAGTCGTTTGAGACTTTTAAAAGAGCAATAGCAAACCATGGGCAAAGCGAAACTTGATAGCGGTTTTTCACAACACTACTCGACGAAGTTTCCAGTTCCAACAGTTCTCAAAGATCGAAGACCGCTCCGAACGCATCAGTGATTGACGCTTCATTGAAAATCATCACCACTACAAAATGGCCATCATTGACGGAACTGGGATCAACCCATGACTTCCCTGAATATTTCAAAACGAAGCAGAAGTGATTTGAGCCCAGCCTGCAACTGGGTGTGTGCACAGCGGCAGTCGCCTTCGTTGCAGGTTGCTGTGAGGCAAGACGACACCCTGGCGACAACGCAGTATTGACCGGCTGGGGGATGGCTGCCTCGCCTGGGCGGACAGAGAGGGCTGATCGTGTCAGGCAACCTCCTGCTCGACTGGACAACTATTACAAGCGTCACTGATTACCGAAATTATCAAATAATATGATGGTTTTCTTAAAAACAGCGGCAACCTTGTAATGGTTGTAACAACTTCATCCCCCTGCCATCTTATTTGATTCATTATTGCGATTATTTGAAAGACTACCCAAAAGTGTTCAGTAAATCACAAGTTGAGAACTGCTCGCAACGATGAAAGCGAGTATTTGTGCAATATTGCGTTGCGACGACCTTTTACGACCGACTTGGACATTTTGAACTATTCTTGTTACGTTTTTCGATGTTTAACTATTTCGTGCCCCTTGAACTTCCCATTGAAAACATTGCCTAATATTAATTGTAGCGTCCATGAGTCGGGAATGGGCATAAACCAGGAGATGTAGGTTGGGATTGTTGAACCAGTACTTTAGTATGAAAAAAAGCGAACAAGTTCAAAAAAGGAGAAAGCTGTGGTTTTTGCAAAGTGCAGGGTTTGATTGCTTCTGTTCGCTGCGGGCAAAATGTTTTCCATTGGTAATCTGTAACGGCGAGATAACAAGGAATCGCGTTTGATGTTCCCATGCACTGGATGGATTCCAGGGCTCCCAGAGATTCATCCTGAATAGCCCAAACGGTGCTAAGTGAGTTGGGAGGGGCCGCGCGGCGGCGCGGCGCCTTTTCATGTCTGTGCCCTCTGTAGCGAGATAGTAGTAGTGCGCCTGGGTCTGGGAAGGGATGGTGAGGTTGTACTGAAGTCTTTCGTGATTCAAAACAAATTACCA